CGTCTTGTTTCACCCTTTTTCCATCCGAGCACGGAGGAGAAGAGCACGTCGGGAGAGGAAGAGATAAAATATACACGCGGCATCTCGTCTATTCTCATTCCGCTCGTGGTCTTTGTCGTCTTGGTCGTTCATGACCAGCTGCTCTTGTTGCCGGACAGAGTTAGCCGGCTAATCCGCTATTAATCGAAGCAAATGCCCTGACCTCGCGATCTACTTGCCCGCTCGTTATTATTACTCCCCGGGGGATTTCAAGACCGCCGCGGCTTCTCCGGGAACTCGTTAACAGATCCTTCTTCGTGCCCGGCGATTTCTTTTCGCCGCGTTCCATCCGTCGCCCGAGACCGCGCCAATTCCGCTTCCTCCTTCCGCGTTGCGATGCCCGGTTACGACCGGTATTCTTCTGCTACAATGCAATTCCTGTTCCCCGCGATATCCGCGCCATTTTATTCCATCCACCTCTGCTCATCCCTCACGGAGGACTCGTCCCTTTCAGACCTTCGGGCGGCCTTCCCCGAAACGATATGGAAGGCGAGGGAGAGGGAGCTTGTTTCCTCGATCCGTCCATCTTCCAAAGCGGAAACTCCGCTTTCCTACGGCCAAGAAATTGATAGCCCGATGGGGACGTTGAGAAGAAATTAACGGGAATCGGGTTTTCACTTGCTCGCGTCCAGAAGTTGATAGATAATTCCTGGCTATTAGTCAAGGTATCAGCGAAGGTGTACGCGATTCGACATTAAAAGTCCGACTGCTGGAAGAAAAGCTCTGTCTCGCAGGGTCGAGAAATTAGCGTACCCTGGTCGCAATTTATCACGAGGATTATCTTGCTGGATCATTATCTCGCTGGATCTTTCTTGCGTATCCTTTTTCGCTTACCGTACAGTGTTCACACGTGTCGAGCTTCTCGATTTCAGCGGATTAATCATTACCCGGCACGTGACGCCTCGTTTTCGCCGCTGTGTCGTGTGTTTTTCATTTGCGATTCAATAATACCGAGAAATAAGAAGCTTATCCGGACGGTGACGCAACGAGATCGCGTTATGTAATTCGCGAATCGTGACCCGAGCTATGCAACAGAGATTTTTTATCAGACGAAGGGTCATCGAGAGAAAGAAACGTGATAACAGTAGCACGCCAACGAACTTTAAGAGCTACTTTCGATTTCTCGCGAGAACAAACCTTCCAGTCCTTGTATTTAACTATCTATTTACCTATCTATTCGTATATTTATTTATTTAACGTATCAATAATTAACCTCTTAGGCACTAGGCGCCACTATAGTGGCTTTCGCGGATGTCATCTTTCTGTACGACGCGCCGCTATAGTTAATCGTCATACAAAAATAATACAATAATTTAATCATCAAACACTTCATTCCAATGTACTCGTGTAAAGAACAGCATTATCCGTCACACATTGCAGTGCCGTATCATTTACACGTAATTCGCGTTGAACTCTGCCGTACAGAGAAACAGCCCCGCGCAAAATTCAGCCGTGCCTAAGAGGTTAATAACAGTAGCACACCAACG